AACGACGGTTAATTTGGAAGACGTCGCTTACAAACTTGGTGTTCCTGTGAATGGAGCCCCGTGGTGAGGCGGAAAAATTACGATGCTTGAAATTGACACTTTTTGCTTACCAATTCTCTTGCTTTATGAATTTTTCACTGCTGATTTGGAAGCCTTTCATTTATTTTCTGTGTAGTGACTTGTTTACTGGAATTGGCAACGAAAGGGCACATTCTAATTTTTTTTTTAATTTTCTGGTCACGACTGGAGACATGGGCACGATGCTCGGCACAACAGATTGTAGAAGACACTAGAAGATTCTGGAAGCAAGACCGGTCAACACAAATATGGATAGAGAACTTAGGAATTTCAGTTTCTTAATTTGTAATTAAAACATTTGAATTATCACTTAGATTATTTTGGATTTTATTTATTTTATTATATTTTAGGATTTAGGAAGCTTATAAATACCCTTCATGGGTAAGGCTTAAATGATCAACCTTTTGTCTTAAGTTTTACTTGTTAGTTTTAATTAAAGTTTCCATTTTCTTTTTCACTTCCTTTGTTTTAAAGTTATTTTTGTTTTGCAAAACTATGTTAGGTATGATAAATCGTATCATGCTTAGGTAATTTCCTTTAAATCGAGAGCTAGTAATGATTCAATTCCATGCGTGAGAATTGAAAAGTTCTTAAATCCCTTAAGGGTACATTCTTGTTTTTCTGGTTTATTAGTTTGGCAATCGACCTTACTTACAATTTTTAAACACTTTCAAATAAAAAAGAGCTCGTTGGTCTGGATGTTGTTTAAATATATAGTTGGGAGGAAGGATCGACCTGTGGCAAATTCGACTTCCTGTGAACACACTTAACGTCGGTCCGCTAAGGAAAAACGAGATCGGATTAAATTCTCGACGAGACAACATAATCCAAGTTGGGCTTTTCCAGTTTTTAATTTGATTGTTTTAACGACAATAGTTGTGGTTAACACTCAATAATCATTTTTTGAAGATAGACTTGGGAAAACCAGTTACATGAGCGAAGAACAAGTTACACTGGGTTGGGCCTTGTAGATTGTAACCGTCATGAATCCCGGAGCAAAAATTCATTTCAATAATTGACGAAATTGAAACAAAGCTAGCTCAAGGCGATTTTTCTCTTTGCCATTTTTCAATTTAATTTTCATTTTCCTTTGATTTATTACTTCTCTTTCATTTTATTTAATTTACTTTAGTATTTGTTTTTACTTTCTTTCATTTCATCTTAATCTCACCTACCATAAATTTTTATTTTTTTTTATTTTTCTTGCAGCTTTCTGGACTGAAATCGATACGAAATTGCATCAGGAATTTCTAAGTCCCTGTTGATCGACCCTCTTTTCACTATACTATATTTATTTTTATTTCTTTTATTTGAAGAGATGTTTTGTTTTATTTTGACGAGTAAAACGACGCTTGTCAAAATTGGCGTCGTTTCCAGGGACTTTGGTAATTTACTGATATATTTTTTTGTTTTGATTTTATGACCAAGGGTAATCTGGGAGAATTAGTAGAACTTGACCCGGAGATCAAAGCAAAAGCTCGTAGAACTCATGGCCAAACGCTTCGAGGAAAGAAACAACAAAGAGAACAAAGCAGTAATCAAATCTTGAATCCAATTATGAAACGCTATCTCGTACTCAATCCTACGAAGAATCAATGCATGGCGCCACTCCAATTGAACCAGTCGTAGACCCCACACCTAAAACCGGAACCGATGGCATATCGAATAGTTAGAGAGCTAACTGTAGCTCCCGTTATACAACAACCACTTTGTATCACTTTTCCTAATGGCGAGACCTCTTATCAACTGAAGACGGGATTAATCTATCTCTTTCCTACCTATCACAGTCTCCCCAGTGAAAGTCCGCATAAACATCTCGTGGAATTTCACATGGTTTCCAGTAGTATGAAGCCCCAGGGGGTTTCTGATGATCAAATCAAACCAAGACCATTTATTTTTTCTTAGCGGATCGGCTAAGGAATGATTATTTTATTTATCGCCGAATTCTATTACTACTTGGTCTGATTTATCACGTGTTTCCCTTGACAGATTTTCCCAGCGACAAAAGCAAGTGAGCTACGGATAATCATTTTAGGAATCCAACAAAACGAAAGAGAAACACTCTACGATTATTGGGAAAGATACAAAAAGTTATGCACCAATTGTTTGCAACATGATTTATTTGAACAAACTCTCATTCAATATCTTTATGAAGGAATGCTTTCGGTAGAGAAAACAATTGTAGATGTCGCTAGTGGTGGTGTTCTCGTCACCATGACATCGGATGCATTAAGAAATTTAATTTCCACCATGGCTGCAAATTCTCAGTAATTTGGCTCATCGAGTGAACTCAGCCGACGGGTTCCCTAAGTAAGTACAGTTTCACTTGAGAACAAAATAGATAAATTAACTAACATAGTTAATTCACTTATTTCAGGAAGAATTTGAGCCGCAAAAGTTTATAGAGTTTGTATGATGTCGGACCATCTGACGGATTACTTCCCAATGTTACAAGATGAATCCGACGCGCAAGTTAATGTCGTAGGCACATTTTTAGGACCTCCACAAAGGACTTATAACCATATGGCAACACCTTTAATCCGGGATGGAGAGACCATCTGAACCTGAGTTATGAAAACCATCAAAGCATTAACCCGTATTATCAACCGAGGCCTCCTCATTTCCCTACCCAAACACCACAAAAATCCTCCCTCGAAATAATTGTAAAAAAAATTGGCCTTATTCCAAGAAAATTCCAAACTCAAACCCAATCTCACCTTAAGATCTCGACAAGAAAATAAGCCAATTGGCTTAAATAGTTGGTTGTTTGGAATCTTAAGGCCAATTACCTTCACAAACTGAAACAAATCTATAAGAGAATGTCATTGCAATAACTCTTCGAAGCGACACCGTCATTTTGCTTGAAATCCCAGAGAAGAAAGACGCATCACTAGAAAAGAAAAAAGAAGATGAGATGCCACCTCAGTCTATCTCAAGTAATCACAATTCCTTTTCTTTTTTACCTTTCCCTTTCAAAGTTCTACCTCCTTTTCCTTCTAGATTAATGAAGTAGGACATGAAAGCTGAAGAGAATGAGATCCTAGATGTATTCAGAGAAGTGGAAATCAATATTCCACTTCTTGAAGTGATTTGAAAAATACCGAATACACCAAATATCTCAAGGATATTTGTACGAATTGAAGGCGATTAACCAGGAATGAAAAAGTAAACCTTGGCTAAAACGTCTCCTCTATCTTTCAGAGAAGTCTTCCACCGAAATACAAGATCAAGGCATATTTGCCATACCTTGAAAAATCAGCAATGTTGGAATCAAGAGAGCCATATGTGACTTAGGCACATCAATCAACATAATGCCGCTCTCCATCTATGAGAATTTAGAGTGTGTTAAGTACACCTCATCGGCAAGATGAAGACGATCAAGGCCGATGACCCCGGCGTACTCGACGAGCCCCATGCTATTATCATTCTACCACTCCTCGAAGAACTTAGAAAATATAAACAAATCTTATTAGTTTATAAATAATTTTATTTTAATAAAATTATTATTATTTAATTAATAATTTTTTAAAATTTAAATCGGGCGAACTTGTCACCTCGACGTGACGAGTTCTATTGTGACCGTTGCACAATTGCTCGTTGACCAATGGCTACAAAATGACTAGTTTTTTAAATTTGAAGGAACTCATCACCTCGAGGTGAAGAGTTCTCCTCTTTTTTTAAAAAAAATTCTAATTTTAAATTTTTTTAATAGACTCGTCATGTCGAGGTGACGAGTCTGCTTAAAAACAAAAAATTAATGGCCCACGCAAGACCCACTCATCCGTGTCAATTAAAAAAAATCATATTTCAAGGAATTAATCACTTTGAGGTGACAAGTTCGCTCGACACTATAGTAAATGTCGTAGATCCTCAGTTAAAAGTTGAGGAGGAATAAAACCCTAAAATTTTAATTTAAAGCCCTATGGGAAAAAAACCCTAGATTCTCCCTAATCCCTTGTATATTTGCAAGCTCATGCATATTGCATCACTTTCAGACAAAACAAACGGCTGAGATTGGATTCTAAGTTAAAAAAAACCATCCAGATGAAGCTATCATTAATATTTATATTTAGGACAGTTGTTTCGTTTGTCTTGTTTGAATGGACCAGAATTAGAAAGAGATGCTTTTACTAGAATATTGATTAATCATGCTTGTCCCATTCATTACCTTTTTCTTTTGTTTATTTTTCTAGATCATGATACAATAACTATTGTGATTCAATTTAATGAATTCATTATCCAGATTTTTATATGAAAATACTCATTATATTCAATAAAATTGCATACATGCATTAAATTTAAATCAAAGTAAAATCGATGAATATTCAAAACATAACTTTTATATAAAATGAAAACTAAAATTCAATACTCACAAGACTTTCAACTCTTCAAAGGCTAGTATTTTATTGGATAAACTACATTTGTACTACTTAATTTATTTATTTTTTCATTTTTGATATATCAACTTTATTTTATTTTAAAACCATAAAGGGATGGATTGGGGAAGAGATGGGGGCAACAACCTCTTGAAAATTTAAATTTACATATATTTTAAAATTTTTCTATGTAAATATTCTACTGAAAATCTGTTCCACCTGAAATTTTATAAATTTAGTTGCTTCTTAATATTTTATAAAATTTTATCAATCATCACAACATCAAATTTAAAATAAAAATCCATATAAATATAAATTAAATACTCATAGTACTTTAAACTCTTCAAACTAATATTTACATTGATGCTCGATCATTATTTATGTTTTAACTTGTAAAAATTTTAGGTTTCTTATGGGTCAATTACGAAAGGGTAGATTCAAACCTAAAAAACCCTCGCCTCGTACAGATTACATCACTTTCAGACGAATTAAACGGCCGAGATTAGATTCTAACCCTCAACCCCCCCCCCCCCCATCAAGAAGATCATAACTCAGATAAAATTACCCATGAAGCTGGTTTGATCGATTTAATTAGAAGTAGAAGCCATCCAGCTGATCATAGAAATCCATTTCTTCGTAAAGAAACGGAAACTCAGCAAATTCATAGCCAGAAGAATCTGAAGTACTACTGGTAATCATATTAGAATTTTCCCAGAAAAAGGGTTCCGACCAGAAACTTCCACTATCTACCTCGTATGCTTCAAACGAAGACGAAGCTTTGTTGCTGTTATCATCATCTGTAACTGACTCTTTGCTGGATTCCACCGTATTATATTTGTTTATGGAGGAGGATTGATCGCTTGAAGCTAGTTCTTGGGGCGAATACGATTGTGAGCTTTCAAGAATTAACGGAAGATTATGATCGTTTAGCTTTGTTTCTTCTTTCTCTTTACTTTTACCACGCTTGTTCCCTTCAGCTGATTCTTTTTTACCGTCATCTTTGGATTCCAAAGGCTTGTCCTTGAAGCGTTTCTTTAGATTCGTGTGCCAATGATTCTTCACCTCGTTGTCTGTTCGACCTGGTAACTGCGCAGCAATGGCGGACCACCTGCATATTTGCGAATTCTCTTTATTAATTAATCAAACCCTTTGTTATTTTCACAGTATATGAATGTTTGAAGCATTTTAAACAGCACCTGTTGCCTAGTTTCTCATGTAATCTGATGATTGTTTCTTCTTCTTCGATGCTGTAATTCCCTCTTTTGATGTTCGGCCTTAAATAATTCAACCATCGCAGCCTGCAACTCTTCCCACATCTTTGCAGACCTGAAAAACACACGACGATCAATACATTAAAACATCATCCACAACAATCCTCTCGTTATCTTGTACGTATACTCTTCGTGATCTCTATGTTTACCTGCGTACTTGGGGAGTTGTCGCCAATTCCAGCAGCCGTATCGGGAGACATAGGCGATCAGTTTCCGATCTTCCTCGGGGGTCCAGGTTCCTTTCCTTAGTCCGCTCGTATCACAACAAGGTGTTCGTACCATGTTTCCTTTCGCCTTTGTTCTTCACTCACTCAAGTTACTTTGCTTTCTGTTTTAGTAACTTCAAATTTCCAAACTTGGAGCAATTTATACTTTGCCATTCTTCGGACCAAAACGTGCTACACGTTTTATTTTCGGAATTTAGTATAATTATAACATTTTTATAGAATACCCATTTGCATTTATTAATGAAAAAATAACATTTTCCTGGTCTTTGTAGATGGTCGATATCCAGGAAAATTCAGCTGATGTCGCTTTCAAGGCTTCATCTTAGTCAAAACTATGTGTACGTCATATTGGTAACTCACATTAATCAATATATAACTGAGCTTCGAGGAAAGATGCACATATATGATAAAACAACATGATTATTGCCTCGACAAAACCTGATGTGTGCACACCATTCAACCTAAATTTCGACGAAGGTCATTTTAGTTCATCAGCAGCAGTAGATTCAGCACGTTTTTTTAACCAAATTAGGCACGGAAAGTTTTTGTGACCTCAATTTCTTTTGATCATGCACCATAAGTTTGTGTACAACTCACTTGTTAAAGAAATAAAATAAAAATTATTTTTATTATTAAAAAAGTATAATTTCAAGTACGTAGAGTACTAACCGTTCCTTTCTAATAAAACCCGATTCGAGATTTTTCCTTTACTTCAATCTATCGAATTTAATTTTGAATTATTATGTTATTAATAAGGTTTTAATTAAATTTAATATATTTTAATAATTAAAAATATTATATTATATTATATCTTAAAACATACAAAAGTATTTCATGTCAGATAATTCAACCTAAATTCATACAATTATATATTATCGAAGTCTACAAATTAAGACTATTTAAAAGAGTGGTTACCTAAGTCTGTTTTATCTGAAAAACTGGAATTTTATATTACTTTTGAAAGTGAAACAAATAATGAAGCTGAATTTCAAAGACTTGCATCTGTGCAGTTGGATTATAATGTGTATAAATTATTATGATATAGATGTCATGTCTGGTCCTAATTTATGTTCTACCTCATTTCTATCGTGCACAATAAGAACAATAATAATAATATAAATAAATAAATTATAGGGTAAAGTACACAAATAGTCCCAGACTATAGAGTATTGTTTTTTAAGTCCCACGACTATTAAAAGTTACAAAATGATCATCTGATTATAGAATCTTACTTTGTTATGTCCCTATATTAAAAGTTACAAAATGATCACCTAACTATTTGTTATGTTCTAAACTTGTCATTCTTTGTTAAAAAACTGGTGGTTGTCTAAGCTGGACATTAACATGATGACTGAGATATGATAGTCTTTGAGATTCTATGATCAACTTTTATCATATCACAATCAGTATGTTAACATTAAGCTCAAAATACTATCAAATTTTTAACAAAAAAGGATGAGTTTGGAACATAATGAATAGTCGGGTGACCATTTTGTAACATTTAATAGTCGAGGGACTCAACAAAAATCATTCTATAGTCAGAGGATCATTTTGTAACTTTTATTAGGCAAGAGACTTAGTAAAAATAATATTCTACAGTCGGGGACCAGTTTTGTACTTTACCCTAAATAATATAACTTAAATTTCAATTAAACACCTGTCAGATAAGGGAGAAACATGGGAAGAGATGATGTCTTCATCTTCATCTTCATCGTCATCGTCCCAATGCAACGAAACATCACCATGCATACTGCCTAAGCTCCCTTTGTCCTTTTCATGTGGGCACGTTGATATAAATGTAATTTTATGTATTTTGTGTATTGATTTTTTAATAGTTTGGGATGATTATAAGATAATTTATGTTTAAACTTTTTTAAGTTATTGATAACGCTTACACACACCCTTCCGATATCAGTGTTTAAATCCAGAACTTCCAAGGAGATTAATATTATCACTAAAATCATTTGATGGTTCGTATATAATGTATTGTTTAGAAAGAAAGTGTTATAAAATTTTCAGTATAAGACATATATTAATCTTAATTATTTTTTTTCTTAAGTAAATCTCATTGGTGATTTAATCTCTCACTGATCAGACAGTGAACAATACCCATAAAACGCACACTACAGTGATTCCTGATAAATTTGTTCGTGCGAGAATAATTGCTCTCTCTCAGTCGATACAAGTAAAATAAAAACCCTCTCTATATAAGTCATCAATTGGTCGATCGTGATTCTTTAAAGTCAGCAGTGAGTAATCCTTGTATAACTTAAAAACACTAATCGGATGTTCTCGAATAAGATTGTTGATAAACAAGTTTTATACTTAATTTATCGATTAAATTAAATTCGAGTTTGGATATTGTAGATGCTTATTGAGTACCGGCCACTAAACTCGACTTATTCTATTCACGTCAATATTCGAACTCTAAAATTATTTAAAGTGTTGGAATAAAATCCGTAATTGTAGATACACATGTATAATGCATGATGCAGTTATAAAGTATAATATAAAATTAAGTGATTAATTATGCTTTATGTGTCATAAATATTAAAATGTCATGGAAATAAAAATATAGATACTATAAGTTGTATTTATAATTTAATGAAGACATAATTATAAATACCTATAATCTGATTTAATATCCGATTTATATAAAGAATTAATGATCCTAATAAATACATTAACTTGTATTACTTTTATCCCGTTAAATATTTTTTCAGAACATTAAATCAATGGAGGGAAAAAACACACGGGTTATGTTAAAATTTCGGTATTTAAACATTTAAATCTAGATCAATATTACTGAATGAGAGAACAAACCAAATATAAAAATACTTAGACATGTTCGTTAGGTGTAACCGTTGCAATGATGCTGTCATCTCGAATCTTACCTTGTCTAATTGTAATTTACAAATGTACAAGTTCTTACTTGTATACTTTATTTCATATATCAATACATGTTTATGTACGAATCAATGTGATTTCAGAGGTGGAAAATTTAGACCGATTTTTCTTTTAAATGATTGAAATCAATGTTAGGTAAATTATACCGATTTTTCTTTTAAATGATTGAAATCAATGTTAGGTAAATTATATGTTTAATATTTAAATTATTAATTTTAGTTTATTTTAATGTTTAAATTTTTAATTTTTAAAAAAAATATATTTAAGGTTTAGTTTTTGTTTTATTTTAGTATCCATTAAAAACATAAAGTTAGGGTTTGAAAAGGATTGAAAATTTAGGTACACAAAATGACCAAAATTAACAGTTTATGTAGTAAATGCGTTAAATTTTTAATGATAGATACTAAAATAAAATAAAAACTAAACGTTAATTATAATTTTAAAATATTAAAAATTTAAATTCTAAAATAAATTCAAAATAATGATTTAAATATTAAACACGGAGTTTAGTGTCAATGTTATTGGCATGGAACATATTTAGGTCTATTTTTTTGACCAGACAAACAAATTTTGGTTCAATCACTACACGCTCAGTTAATGGAATCTTTAGGTTCCTTCAATGTCATGCTTTGTAGAAAAAAATAATCTTTGCTTTTTCCTTTTATATTTTGTTTTTATGTATAATGACAAAAAATTATGTGGGTGGAGTTGTGAATTATGTGGTGAGAAGAAAATGCCTTTTACGAGGAAAGATGAGAAAGTTTATTTAAAACTAAATTTATATATTTATTTTGTTTAATAGGAGGTGATTATAAGATAATACACGTTCGAAATATTTTTTATTATTTGATAATGAATACTTAAATATCCTTACAGATGTTATGCTCGAATCCATAAGCTATAAGAATAAAATCATCCTTTAATCATGGAGGTTGTTTAGTTCGTACATTCAAAATTAAGATTTTTAATTAATTTAGAGTGATTATAATATATTATTTATTCGAAATATTTTTAATTATCTGACAATATAAGTTTAAACACTCCTACAAATACCGTACGTGATCGTAGACCAGATTAATGGGGTATGATGCTCTGGATAGATGGTTGGTAGAGTGGGTATGATGTTTTGCTGGTGTTTTGTGAGATATGTAAATGGAGGTCAGGTAATGTTTAACGTAATGGTATGAGCATCATTTGGGGAGGTTTTTCTGACTCACCCAAACCGCCCCTTATGAAGTGGGACTCCTGTTGCTAACCTACTAACCATGGCGATCTTGGGATGTGTCCCCTCCAGGATTAAAATTGTCTTTCTTATCAAGATGGGATTTTAGTTCCTTACGAAATTGAACACCCTTTGGGCCAAAATTTGTCGTTCCAAGTACAAGCTTAAGGATCCATTTCTCATCGTTCTTAACGCCAAGAATTGCTCCTTTGTTTGGAAGTCTCTCACCAAGATCTGAGATTTGGTCAAAGATAATGTCTGTCGGTCAATCAGGAATAGAAAAACAATTAACTTTTGGAAGAATGTGTAAATCCCGACGAAAGATCTGTTGGTTAACTGGACGACTTATAATCAATCCAACAAACCCGACTACCCGCTTAGCAGTCTCACCACTGATGTCGATGGATGGGACTTGCCTAAGTTAGATACCCTAGTCGATGCTGATTTGGTTCAGAAAATCATAGCCTAAAGTAGGCCATGATCTTCCTAATTGGCAATGGGAATCCAACGGGTCCTGTACGGTTAAGTTGGAGTACCATGTCTTGAATCATAACCTTTGGGATGGGAAGGATCAGATTTAGAACTTAGCCTAGAATTTTGATGGACCCCAACGGGTCAAGAATTTTATTTGGTTGGTGCTTCATAACCGGCTCATGAATAATATGGAAAGAATGAGACGTTGCATTGTGTCACGGACTAAACTTTTGGGTCCATGGGCATTGGCGTAAAGGTTCACAGAAGGGGTTCAATTGCGCAGACTTTGGGCTTGTTGGGCATGGCGAGTTGGCCTGGTTCTTAGAGAATGCTTGCGGGTCCGTAAAGGCTCGAGTTCGTGAAGGATCAAGTCCGAGGCGTCCGAGAGAAGCGACGAGGGTGTTACATGTTCGATGGGGGCAATTTTGTCGAGGCTCGTGGATTCGGACCGAGACATGTGTGAGCAAATTTCTGTAGAAG